GCAACAAGCTCTCGCAAATATCCTTATTTGGGCCGTGTTATCGCGTGAAGTTACGTGAACTCAAGTGAACTTCTGTTCTCGCGAGTTAAATCTCCGGACCTGTTGCCGGAGCTGCACCGCACCGTAGTCAAAAGGGCTGTGAGAGGGGGTGTGCGGGAGTTGCGGTCTCCGTCGGCTCGGTAACCGCACCGGAGCCAGTGTGAGCAAGGGGTAACAGGCAAGCAGTCATTGAAATGGGATTCATGGCAATGCCCAGGAATATAGTCTCCTGTGAGGGAGACTGATCTTCTTCATGTTCATCTGCAAGCCCAAGCATTCCAAATGATGGAGCGCTGAGTGTCTCGAATCGCCTGGTCCCATGTCGCGGCAAAAAAGAGCCAGTCGTCCAGATACAGGAGGATCCTCAATCCTTGTGCCTGCAGAAGAGAGAGGGCCGCTGCGACACATCTGGTGCACACCCTGGGAGACAGTGAAAGTCAGAACGGGAGGACCCTGAACTGGAAGTGCCTCCCCTGAAAGGCATAACGAAGAAAACGCCAATGGGGAGGAGTGATTTGAACATGAAAACAAGCCTCCCTGAGATCTAAGAAAGTGAACCAATCGCCCAGGGATTTGCCTGCAACACTTTCTTGGTGGTCACCATGTGAAAAGGCATGGCCTTCTAGTAGACATTCATGCCTCTGAGGTACAACACTGGACGTAGGCCCCCGGTCTTCTTCGGAACCAGAAAATATATGGAATAAAAGCCCGCTGGATCCCATAGGGGGTCCAGCGGCACTATAGCCCCCTTAGCCAGCAAGGTGGAGATTTCTCAGTCCAGTACCTATGCCTTCACCGAGTCATAGATCACAGTTATCCTTACATGGCCAGGGACGAGTGGCCTGCGGCGGAATTGAATACGGTACCCTTGTAGAAGAGCCTGGAGGGCGACTGCGCCAACCGGACCTGGCGGTGAGTGTGAACCAGCATAGAAAGTGTGCGTCCAAGCTCCTTGATCATGAGAGTAAAGGCCTGCAGAGATGCATCAACCAGGCATTGCATGGCGTGGTCCAGTGGAAAGATTCCAAGGAGGAAGACAGGGCCAGCATAAGATGGGAGAGAGAGTTCCCAATCCGGCCCATAACGGGCATTGGGCCAAAAAGCCTCATCAGGTGGGATAATAAGAGAGGCATTGCCAGGTTCCACCACTGGCATCTGCCCCTAGCCAACCCTTGATGCCTCCTGCAAGAAAGAGGAGATAGAAGGGAGATAATGATAAAACATTTTCAGTCTGCTTTATCACCTGCAACGAGATGTAAAAAGAACCCCCCGTTCCCCGAGAGCTCCAACAGAGAGGGGAGCCCCACGAGTCGCACCACCATAGCCCGGGGGCCAGGTACCAGCGGCAGGGCCCACAAGCCAGCTGGCCACAGGGCAGACACCGCCACCCCCCCATCCTGTACAATTTTCAATTCAATTCAGTTTATTTATATAGCGCCAAATTCACAACACATGTCATCTCAAGGCACTTTACAGTTCAACCAGATCATACAGTCA